GTTAATTTTCTGTTTTATGTATTCATCTTTGATCTCAATTATTGCTGACAAGACAACTTTTCAGTGACATTGATCTTGTTTTTTTGATGGCCTATGACCTACATGGTCATTGGGAGACAAATGTTGATTTACACTCTAAGTTACATCCAACTAAAGGAGAAACCACAAACATCGGCACATCAAATACTGTCAGTATTTTTTAGACAAATTTTGTCCCAAATGACACAGCTGTAATATTTGTATTTTAAAACTTTAAGTTGCTGCAAAAGAAATATACCGTAATTGGGCAAAAATTGCCACCATAAGTGAAATTCACGTTGTTTATAAGAAGATCATGTGGTTTGTGAGATGTGAAATCCATTAGAGTGGAAGAATAGAAAACAAGGAACTTTAAGTTTTATGATTGCTTTACCTATAATAAACAGTCTTTCTGGATTATAATTTAGATTTCTCTTTCAGAACAAAATAAGTTTATACAAAGAATTTTTAGTCAAAATAATTTTATTTTTCTTCCTAGTTTTATATACATGTCTAACTATTGCTTTGCTTTACCACAATTATATATTAATTAGAAACAAAATAAAAACTTGCTCGCAATTAAATAATTAATATTTATTTTCTGAAGTCATTTAGGCTTTGTGTGTTACATGCTTATTACTCCCTTCAATACTCTACATTTAACTGTAAATATAACAAATAATTCTACTCATCTGTCAACATTGTCACTTCAAATAATTGTTCCTAATCAAATTTGTTATTAATTTGTTATCCAAAATAGTTCTCACTTAATTTTTGAAATCAGTTTCAAATTTAAATTTTATTTAATTTTAATTATTGTTGTGTTCATTAGTTGTAATTTAATTTTCACGTTCAATTTTCTTACAGGCTTATGCTGCAAATTATTGGGCAAATAAAGGTGTGCCAAAGCGTAAAATTATTATTGGTATTTCAACTTATGGTCGTGGATGGACATTAGCAGATCCCAAAAAAAATGCAATTGGATCAGCTGCATTAAGCAAATCTTCACCTTCGACCATATTTCCTGATGGAGGCAAAGCAGCTTATTTAGAGGTGTGTTTCTGATGCTTTAATAATACATCAAATTTTATCATAGAATAACAATTCTATGATAAAATTTGATGTATTATTAATTATTCTTAATAAATAAAATTTCTTACCTCCTTCAGAATACTTTTATTGTCATTTATTAATTCAAATTTCCTATTCTTTGTCATTTATGAATTTAAATTTTGTATACTTGATTTTACTCTAATTCTGAAGAAAGGCATTTGTTTTATTTATTTGATTTTAAAAAAAATGACAATATTGCATTTAAAATATTTTTTTTTCTGCAAAATATTTTACCACAGTTTAAGAATAGATGCAATGTATAAGTGTGTAAAAATGTACTGAAATTTATCAATTATGAATTCATTGCAGATTTGCAAATACTTGAAGGAAGGTGGCAGAGAAACAGTGGAAAAAGATGGAATTGGAGCAGTCTTAATCAAAGGCAAGCAGTGGTTTGGCTATGATAATGAGAAAACTATTAAGAGTAAAGTAAGTAAATGCAGCACTGCAGACTCCATTTTATTCTTTACTGCTTTCGACTAGAGCCATGTTTCAGTTTAAAAGCTATTTTGAGAATTTTCAATAGAGAATATTAATATAAAAAGTTTCAGATGGAATGGCTCAAGCGAGAAGGTTTTGGTGGTGCATTTATATGGAGCCTTGATTCTGATGATTTTACTGGAAAAAGTTGTGGCAAAGGTCAGTATCCACTAACAAGTGCTGTTTGGAAAGAACTCACTAATAATAAAAAATCTTCAAATTTTCTGGTATGAAAATTTTTAAATTTTTTAATAATTGTTGAAACGTTTTAAAATTGATTTCACTCTCTTGATTTAAATTTTCGGATTTCTTCTCACTAAAAGATTATCAATTAATTTCGAAGTAGTCCACTACTATATAGTATTTGTTACCACAAAAAAGACTTTGATTTAATTTAACAAACAGTGCCCAGTGTGATAAAGTTTCTTAACTTTTTAAGAGGAAATTTTTAAATTCAGAATCCGTTTTCAAGTGTTTATGTATCGTTTTACCTCATTCAAAGAATGATGTAAATGTATTGCAACATAAATGAACTAATTTATAAGTTGAAAATAGTGAAAGTTTCACAAGCTATTTGAACTATACATTGAGGTTAGTATTAAAAAAGCTCAATTTTTAAAAGTTCAAACCAAAGTCA